CTCAACAGAAGGCGCCATGGGAGCATGCACTTGCTTAGGTTTGTCCTGTCATTAGCTCTGAAGGGACTCAGGAAATTCAGAGTGAGCAAAATTAAAAACGAGATGAGAGAGACAGGAGTTTGGGTGCCAAGAAACTCTCCCCAACCTCCAAGGCCTTGGGTTCTGGGGATTGGGCCAAGGGGACTTCATGCCGTCGTTTTATCTGCACTGAGCTGCCCAGCCCAGCCCAAACCAAGACTCTGCTGCATTCAAGACTGATTTCATTTGCTAAAATCCACTAGATTGAGTCATCAAGTACCTTGACTCACTTACTCATTTATTTTCAGCACCTATTCAAAGGGTAGGCGTTTGCTAAAGCCAAGTGCCTGGAATTGCTCCCGGGATGGCTGGGTGGCAGGCGGGGCGATGGGAACAAACAGTTACAAGAAGTGGGAACAGAAGAACAGAACAGTACACAAGGGGGTGAGCCGGTGGCTTTTGAACAGAGCACATGGGGCGGACCAAGAGGGGGCACAGCATGGCACTCCAGGCTGATGGAACAGTGTGTGCATTCCCTTGGAGGCACAGCCTGCAGCCTGCTGGGTCACGGAGAAACACGTCGCAGCCTGGCCAGCCCTGGGGGCTCAGGGAGGCCTGGCAGCAGACAGATGATGAAGGGCCTGGCCTTTATTCCATAGGCAATGGGGCGCCAGAAATGGAATTTAAGCAAAGAAGAGGCATGTCCTGATGTGTGTTTTGGAAAGACAGTCTTTTTGGAAAGAGGCAGGGAGAAAAATAAACTCAGACTAAGGGAGACCTGAAGCACATAGGTTTCTCCCATCACATACAAACTACTCTGTTTTAAAAGTCAATATTTTTGAATCCTCACCTGAGGATATTTTTCCATTGGTTTTTAGAGAGAGTGGAAGGGAGAGAGAGAGACAGAGAAACATTGATGTGAGAGAGACACATCGATTGGTTGCCTTCCCACACGATCCAACCAGGGCTGGGGATCAAGCCTGCAACCGAGGTACGTCCCCATGACCGGCATCGGACCTGGGACCCTTCAGTCCCCGGGCCTATGCTCTTTCCACTGAGCCAAACCCACTAGGGCTTAAAAGTCAATATTAATAGTCAACCCCTATGCAGCACTTAGTGCGTCCAAGTCATCTCATCTTTTCAACAGTCTTCTGTAAAACAGGGATGAAAATTCCTATTGATTGGTTAATTGTGAAGACAAGTGAACTGATGCAACACCTGCGAAGTAAGGCCCAGAGCAGTGTCTGGCACATGGCAGGTTCCAGAGCCTCGCTAGCCTGCGTCAGCTCCAACATCTTCTTCCTTTGAGGTTTTGCATCAGCTTTGCAATACAGAGGACTGCGCCTTTACCACCAAAGGAACAGCGTTTTGGGGTGGATCTTAGAGTGATTCTGACTCTCTCAGTGTCATGCAGCTCTGGAACGCGGAGGTTTCTGGGAGGCCAGTCTCCAGGGAGTGAAGGTTGGTTTTTTGGTAGTCATTACCCAAATGACCCTGTTCTTTCAAATGCCTGCTAAACCTTTGAAGGCCAAGTTTCATTTATTTGTAATAAATCATGAGCAAAAATAATAAATACACATTTAACTATAAAAATTCAAAAAATTTCAGGCAGAGTTTAAAGCTGTGATCATGTTAAAAAACATGACAGCACAGTTAATGTGATGCTTAAGGATGGATCTCTGTTCATTAGACATAAACGCTCTCATCCCCATAAGTGGTAATAATGACGGGCAGGGCTGGAAGTGTCTCAGAGGCCGCTCTGGAGACGGGCCAGGTGGTCCTCTTTGATGTCCAGAGGGAAGGGGCTGGATGAGGAAGGCGGGAGCTCTGTGAGCTCTGGGTGCTTTAGAGAAATGACAGGGCAGAGCTTTCCCTTCAGAGCCTGCCTGCATGCAGTCCTCAGCCTGAAGCCAACAGTTGGGGTCCTTCAGTCCTTGTCCAAAAAAGAAGTGTCACCCAGCACTGGAGGGGTCCCCCACGTCCCCCAGCCTCCAGTCCAAGGACATCTGCATTCTTCCTGCCCCTCTCCCAATTACTGGCTCTAAAACAGAGGAGCCCCAGCAAGAAGGCGAGCACGCAGGGTGCCCACCAGGCGCTGGGCAGAGCCGTCCTGCCTGCCTGGGCGGTTAGGCCTTCTGCTTGGTGTCTCTTTTGTGGGTTTCATTCGTTTTCCTGTTTAATGCTTGCTGCCTTTCATTAAGTTTTATTGCAGCAGGGGCCTCTGGAGTTCTTTCAGAGGCAGACAGTCATGACCGTGAGTGACAGCTCTCTCGGCCATGAGTCAGCCAAGCAGATATCAATCTGAATTCTGGGCTTCCAATCAAATATTCGGAAAAGGGCTCTGTACCCTTTGAAAAATGCAAAGTAAACAGAATCTCAGCCTGGGAAGCAAACATACCTCAGGTCATTTAAACGGAATTTCTAACGAGGACAGGAGAGTCAGTGGTTCCAACAACTTTAATGAGTGAGTTTTAGGCGAAAGCACAGAAAACAAATAGGATGGAATATCAAAGTTGTCCTTGTAACATCCAATTCCTATGAATCTACTCACACCCTGAGACTATCTGTCTCAGCCTTTTAGCAATTATCAACTTCAAACTGTGTTGCCCTACAGTATGAAAGGTTTTCATCAATTGGTAAGAATGTATATCCATGTCCTTATAGTCCTTATAAGTGTTTGTTTTTCTTTCATATCATCAGTTCAGAGACACTCAATGCAACACTAAGAAAACATGCTTGCCCAGTAGAAAGAGATCACATTTCTTCTTCCTTCCAAATCATTTCACCACTCTGTATTTACATTTCTGGTTCTTTGTTAAGTAGGTTTTAATCAGTGTCCTTTAAAACTTTGCTACACAAAGTATAATCCATAAACCAACAGCATCCACATCACATGGCAGCATGTCCGAAAACTAGATACTCCAGTCCTCCCCAGACCCACCCAACTAGAACTTGCACTCCCCAGAAGTCACACTACAGTGAGAGACCTGCCTCAAGAGACGGTATGAGCCCTGACCAATATTCTCAGTGGTTAGAGTGTCAGCCCACGCACACCAAAGGGTCTCGAATTGGATTCTGGGGCAAGGGCATGTACATCTGGGTTGCAGGTTCAATCCCCTATCCCACTCGGGGTGCGTGCATGAGGCAACCAATTGATGTCTCTCTCTCACAGCAATGTTTCTCTCTCTTTTCCTCTCTCTCCCTCTCTTCCACTCTCTCTGAAAATCAATGGGAAAAAAAACATCATTGGGTGAGGATTAACAACAACAAAATGATGGTGTGAATCTGACAACTCTGTAATCTACAGAAAAGCAAATACTTTTGCAGTTAAAACTCAAATGCAACAGGACATCAGTGCGCATAAACAATAATACCGACACAGCAGCGTGCTTACAGTGCAGACCTGTTATAGGGCCTTGCACAAAGTAGCTCCAGACTTCACTACGGACAGGAGGTAGGCACCATCCTCCTCAGCTTGTAGATAATGTACAGAGGCCCAGAGCGCTTACATAACTTGGGCAAGACCACAAAGCAAACCAGCGGAAGAGGCAGTCTGACTTCAGATGGCATGTTTCTAACCATTGCACCGTACCCCTCCCGACAGTGTGCACCTGCACCAGGAGACCAAGCAGTTCATTCAGGGTCTCAAAGAATGAGCCAGGCTGCTTCAGGACCATCACTTCAGTCTCAGCAACACTTAGAAGTAGAGGCCAGTTGAGCTGGACGCCACAAACTCGAATGGAACTCCCTCAGGGCTTATCTGAGGGAGGGGAGGCTCAGAGGGAATGTGTGAAACCCAATGGTTTTTTCAAAGGAGTGGAAAAGTGGAGGCCAGACTCCACTACACTTCCCACCATGCTCCCTTCCTCACCTACACAGATTTCTAATGCTGTGTGTGTGTGTGTGTGGGGGGGGGGGTTGCTTTTCCAAAGATACCTCACACACATTAGATAGCAAACACAGCTTTTTCCTTTCTCAACTTTCATTCTGTGGGGGGGGGTTTCTTTTCCAAAGATACCTCACACACATTAGATAGCAAACACAGCTTTTTCCTTTCTCAACTTTCATTCACAATCTGAGACTATCCAGATAAGTTATTTGTATCCTATTTGAAACTTCCTCACTATAAAAAGACCGAGGGGAAGGCCGTGCTTCTAAATCACACTTGAATAGCTCTAATACGGAGTACTGTAGCAATTTACCTTCCAGGTGGAACAGGAACCTTCAGATGTGATAGCCAATCAGTCCTCCAGCTTTTGAGCTTTAATTAAGGTAGAGTTTCAGTCTGGGCTCCAAACAGTCATTTACCTGCTCTGCTCCACCTACTAGTTACGGATGAAAGGAGAGTGGCAGTCTGGGCCCACATTACTGTGCCTGTGGGGCTTGTGCCTCCTCATCTAAGATGCCTATTTTTAACCAAATGATGCTTTCCGCCCAAGGTTAGCATCCCACAGGGCTTCCCTCAGGCCCAGAATGTTCGCAGAATGTGCAGCTGGGAGTTCCTGGGACAGACTTCAGAAGGCCAAGGGGCTGAACACTCCTCCTGTTTAAAGCACAACTTGTGTTGTAAAGGGAGGAGACAACTTTCATTTGGAAGCCGGCCCCATCTGGAGGGAGGCAAGATAAAATACACCATGCCCTTAAAATGCCACCTTCAGGGCCGACCCAGCAGTGGCTGTTCCATAACCTCCACACCGGAGGGAGGAAGGGGTTCCAGACGCAATGAGCACAGATCAGTGTCCCCTTTGAAGCAAGTAGGTAAACATAAATCACTGAGTAATTGAAATACCAGAGTGAGACATGGTGATTCCCAAAGATAAAAAACACAGAGCGGACCAAACCGTCCCATCTTCTCCCACTTCTCCCAGAGCTTATGTTCGGGGGCCTACAGGCTGGGGGGGGAGGTAGCAGCCCACAGCCTGGCAGTCAGAGCTCAAACAGCCCAAGCATCCACCCCGATGCCTCAGTCGTGGGGCACTTACCTTGCACTGCCCAGACACGCAGATGGCCGAGCCGTTCTGGTCGCAGGGGGTGCCATCAATGACCTTCTCAGCTTGGCGTACATAGAAGCGATAGCCCATTGCCTGGCAGTTCAACTCGCACTTCCGATTGCCCTTTACTAGGAAAAAAAAACAAGCAGCATCTTTTTTTCCCTTGTATTTTTTATTGAGATAAAATTCACATTACATAAAATTAACCACTGTAAACAAAGTGTAAAACTCAGCGTTTTTTAGTACGTTCACAATATTGTTCAACCATTACCACTAATTCCAGAACATTTCCATCGTCCCACCAATCTATTTTCTGTTTCTATGGATTTGCCTATGCTGGATGTTTTATAACCATACACTTGAAAATTGCATGAGTACTATTAGATCTCTCATATTTGATGGCAGAGGAAAGGCATTGCAGTCTGATCTGCTGGCATATAATAGAGATTTGATGCTGAGTATTACTAAGGAATTCTTAAAGAATTCAAATCTACCATGCATATAGTAGATTCTACTTTTAGACATCCTTTCATTCGTTGCTATACTCATAATTACAATTTATATATCAACAATCATAGAGAGTACACAATTTTATTTTTCTGCTATTGTTTTAACTTAAACTCAATGTAGTTATACCATATTTATGTTCTTTTGGCTGGGGATTCCTACAATAATTCCTCCATGATGAAATATTTTAGTGATTTCCCCATTACCTTAGGTCAGTGGTCGGCAAACTGCGGCTCGCGAGCCACATTCAGCTCTTTGGCCCCTTGAGTGTGGCTCTTCCTAAGCCTTAGGAGCACCCTAATTAAGTTAATAACAATGTACCTACCTATATAGTTTAAGTTTAAAAAATTTGGCTCTCAAAAGAAATTTCAATCGTTGTACTGTTGATATTTGGCTCTGCTGACTAATGAGTTTGCCGACCACTGCCTTAGATTGAAGAACAAACTCCTAAGAAAGGAATTAAACATCTTTCAAATATAAATAGTCCTATTTCCAAATGTTCTCCCTTAAATCTATGTCTGTACAACTAAGCACGTCCTCTGTCCAGCCACTGCTTCGCTGCTCCTTCTGCCGCTGCCTCACTTGTTAGCACCGCATGTACGTGTTTTAGTTCCCAGATCACCTCCTCTGGGAAGCTGTCCCTGGACCCTGATCTCACCTATACATCCACCCATCACAGACTGCTCTGACCTTTTCTGCTTCAGGGTTAACCAAGCTTGACTGAAGCATGGTCTTGAGGGACAACAGGGATGTGTCTGTCTTATTCACTTTTGTATCCTCAGCACTCAGTCCTGACCAAAATGCTCAACAAATCCCTGAGGGCCCGGCCGGCATGGCTCAGTGGTTGAACGTCAACCTATGAACAGGAGGTCATGGTTCAATTCCTTGTCAGGGCACATGCCCGGGTTGCAGGCTCAATCCCCCAGCCAATCAATGATTCTCTCTTATCATTGATGCTTCTATCTCTCCCTTTCCCCTCCTCTCTGAAATCAATAAAAATATATTTAAAACAAAGCAAAACACAAACAAAATCTCTGAGGAATAAAAGGAGGGATGGATAAATGAATATTGGCTTTTTCCCCCCTTTGTCTTTCTCTCTGTATTCATCTACCTCTGAGATCACTTCACACGAAGCCTGACACACAGTAGGTGCTCAGTAAAGGTTAAATTAATTACCACTACAACTAATATCTCCAGAGCAATTTAGTTGCCTTCAAAATAAGACTGAGATATACATTCATATCTAAAAGAGACAGACAAGCCAAGTACACAATGATTTTTTAAAAAACTGTTTTTGGATTCAAGAAAACGCTGTGCTCAGGCATAGACAGCATGCTCCAGGGCCGTGCCTTTGTCTGAAAATCTGATTGCTGGGTTGGGTAATACTGACTTTTTCCTACGCAAGAAGGTACATCAGATTTTCCCCAGTGTGACTGCCTGATTATCATAGCAATGAACTTCCTTGTCCTCCACAGCCATTTAAACCACTACCAGGAAATAACATGGCGCCTCCGGGTCCACAGGGGTTAGGGAAGGCTGAACCTTCTACATACCCTAAGCTCTATCTCAGAAGCCAAGAGACCTGGTTTCTTACCCTGGCTGTCCAAAAGTTATAAGAGGTGACCTTGCAAAAAAAAAAAAATCAGAGAATCAGGTACCTTTGGGAATTATCTAAAACTAAAACATCATTTTATATTAAAAACCATACCACAATAGCCCTAAACAAATGAAGTGACAGGTTGGAGGTAAAACTAGTCTCCTACAACTTGCTTTCTCATGTGCTATCTATATCCAGACCATGTTTCCTCTCTCCCCACTCCTCACTTTCTGAAGTGACAACAGGAAGTATCCAGGTGACTGCATTTTAAGTAATAAGTGTCTGAAAGGCAGCCTCATATGGGGCAAGGGTTTTGAGTTCTCACCTCTCTCTCGGCTTCCTCCAAACAACCTCTATCCTTTGCAGCCCAATTTGATTTCTCAATATTTACAACCATACCACAGAAGAACATTCTGAGAACAATAACAACAACAAAAATGGTTAAAGGTGAGATAATTGTGGCAGCATCTCCAAATGGCTACATGAAAATAACCCAGAGGAATGGCCTTACGTTTGGGCTCCTATCTGTGGCCCAAAGGAGACACTCAGTCCGACCCTCTGCCTAAGTGACTTAGTGCCCCTGCCTTCTCAGACGTGCAACAAGGGGACGGGGGACCCTAGGAGATAACCAAGTGTGCACAGTGCCTCCCGAATGAAACTGCCCAGAACCTGTTGCCTTAGCAACACTCAACCAGTTCTTCTCATAAAGTTACACAAGGACTGACTTCTCCAGACCCTGCACATACTACCCAACCACTTTAACATTTCACATAAAACTACATTTGCAGGGCTTCAGTTAAAGGTTTTTCATTGAGTGTCACTTCATTCCCTCTTTTCTCTTGAATACAGTTATAATTCTGATGCCAGGAGCTGTTTCTCTAAGCACTTTAAAAAAAAAAGATATCAGAGAGGAATAGAGAGATAGAAACATTGATCAGATGAGAAAGAATCACTGATCAGCTGCCTCCTGCATGCCCCACACTGGGGATGGAGGCTGCAACCCGGGCATGTGCCCTGACCAGGATTCGTGACCTCCTGATTCATAGGTCGATGCTCAACCTCTAAGCAAATTCTGCCCTGGTTTTATTTTGTCATGGTTTGTCATGGATAAAACAGAAGCGTGGCCACAAGCTGGGTGCAATGGGAAAGAGCAAGTGGGCACATCCTTTTCCTCCCTGTTTATCTCCCTCTTATTCCTCTCCCTCTCTGTTCCCATCTGCTTCCTAACTGTCCTCCCCACCCCCAAGAGCACCTTTAACTTTCACACACTCAGGTGGTGATCCCCAGTGTGGGCCCAGGACCAGAGGCAGCAGCAGCACCCGAAACCCTGTTGAAAATACAAATTCTTGGGCCTCTCCTCCAACTTCTAAATCGGAAGCTCTGGGGATGATGCTGGGTGACCTGCGTTTTAGCAAACTGTCCAGGTGATTCTGGTGCTTAGTCAAGTTTGGGAATCACTGTCCCAAGAAAAACCAAGTAGTGAAGAGATTTGGAAGTAGCTAATCATTCTTATTTTGAATCCATAATGTTCAAATTCCACGTCTAAATTTAAAAGATAATGTAAGCACCATCTTTAATTAACTTTAAGATATTGCCAAATATCTGGATCCCTGATAATAAAAAGGGTCTCAGGTTATTTTTTTAAATGCTGGAGAATATACAAGAAAATTCAGTTATTTAGAATAAAGTAGCTAACAACTAAAGGGTTTCCCTCAAATAGAGATTAAATATTTAAACTACTCATTGAGCTCTGTTCTTTTGGAGAAACCACTGAGTAAAGACACTTTTTTTTTTTTAGTGATAAATACAAAGAAAATAGAAAAGGAGTGAACAGTTACAAAATTTTGGAAGGTGGAAGCAGAAAAACCCACAGTAATGACTCAGCAAACCCAACCAAACTAATCCTAGGCAGGAATTAAAGCACCAGAACTACCTAATGATAGCATTTCTAAACATCAACTTTGGCATTAAAGAAGAATGCAGGCCTAAAAACAGAAATTGTAGGGTGTTTAAGAGGCAGTTCAGAGGTCCCGCTTTCCAGAATGGTTGACTAAAGCCTCTGAAAATGGACTATGTCAGAAAAGCAGTGAGAACACTGGCAAAAAGCAGCTGAAGTGGCTACTAATAATAGACAAAATAGACTTTAAGACAAAAACTTTTATTAAAGACAAATAAGAGCATTTTATAATGATAAAGTGTCAATCTGTCAGGAAGCCAACAATAGACGCCCAAAATACATGAAGCTAAATCTGACAGAAGTGAAAGGAGAACTAGATAATTTAATAATGAAGGTTGGAAATGTGGATACCGTACTCCCAATAATGGATAGAACTAGACAGAAGATCAACAAAGAAATAGAAGACTTAAACAACACTATAAATCAATCACACCTAATAGACATAGATAGAACATGCCACCCAACAGTAGCACAATTCACATTCTTCTCAAGTACACCTGAAACATTTTCCAGAAGAAAACAAATGTTATGTCATAAAACAAGCCTCAATAAATTAAAAACAAAAACAAAAAACGAAATCACACAAAATATGCTCACTAACCACAATGGAATGAAATTAGAAAATCAATTAAAAAAACAAATTCGGGGATTTCAAAAAGATGTAGAAATTAAACAAAATGCTTATAAATAACTGATCAGGCGGAAAAGCACAGAAAAATTAGAAAATACTTTGAGATTAATAAAATAAAAACACAACATCCCAACTTATGGGATGTAATTATATAAGTATTTAGATGGAAATTTATAGCTGTAAACACCTATGTTAAAAAAGATCTCAAATCAAATAACCTAATATGCCACCTTAAGTAGTGGGGGTAAGGGGAGAGCAAATTAAACCCAAAGCCAAAGGAAGGAAGAAAACTGGGGTGTAAATAAATTAAACAGAGAAGGGACAGACAATAGAGAAAATCAATGAAACCAAAAGTTGGTTCTTTGAAAATATCGATAAAATTGACAAACTTTTATGTAGCCTGGACAAAAATAAAGGAGAGAAGACTCAAAATATT